GCCAGTAGGAGACTGCCTACACAGATGTGGCTACATGTGTGCCTTTAGATACAGCAGTACATATGTCCAGATACACACACAGCAGAAAATTATTTTCAGGGATTTGAATACAGAGGCTGGGTCATGCCTGAGCCCCAAGGAAGAACCTTTGTTGAATCCTTTGTCTGGAGCTGTCTGAAGGCAGAATTTCTTCATCTCCAGGCCTTTAATGGACTAAATGAGGCTTATCCATATATGGTGACTACTCTCCTCTGCCAACATAACTGTCTCTGGCATCTAAAATAGACCCCTACGATATCAGCTAGACGGGTGTCTTGAAAGTCCCTGAGTACTGTAGCCAAACTAGATGGCATAGAAAACTACCTTCCCTTTGCCTGAGAGGTGTCCAGTCTGATGGCCAAGCTCATTTTGTTCACCTCCCAGTGACTCCATCCTGCTCCAAGGGACAAAGCAAGGAAAGCCACCCCATCTCCAGGAGCTTCCCATCCTAGAAGTTGTTCTTGGACTTAAGACCACCCAACTCCCAGGGTGGCCTCCACCTCTGTGGACAGTGGGATGAGCAGCATAGCTCCAGCCCACACCTTATTCACCCTGAAAGCCTTGTTTTCTCTTTCATCCTGTTTTTTTGAGACAGTCTTCCTATTTTGTGTAAAATGGCTGTCAGTCGTCCCTAGATTTGAGGGCTCTTCCTACCTCTGTCTCCTGAGTAGCTGAGACTACAAGCCTGAGCTACTGTATTTGTCTTTGTCTTTTCAGACTTATTTAAGTGAATGTATGTATGTGCACCACGTACATGCTTGAGTGCTATGCCTGCATGCATGTATGTATGTGCACCATGTCCATCACTGAGTGCTATGCCTGCATGCATGTATGTGCACCATGTGCATGCTTAAGCACTATGCCTACATGCATGTATGTGCATGCTTGCTGCTCACAGACGTTAGTTCTGATCACCTGCAACTTAACTTACAGATGTTATGACCCACCATGTGAGTGCTAGGAATCAAACTCAGGTCCTTTACCAGAGCATCAAGCGCTCCTAACCCCTGAGCCAACTCTCCAGACTTCTCTTTGTCTTTTTAGTGATGTGATACATGTTGAGAACTACCCTGAGATCTTGTACCCATTTTCCTTACTTCAGTGTCAGGTGCAGAAGCATACAGTGTTGACCACTTCCAGATCCTGGATAATATCCAGTTCCAAAAAATTTGGGAAGAGGACAGAGCTGTGGACTGAGATGTTTCTGTATAAGACTCTGCACTATACAGCCACATGACTCAGTAGGACCCTCAATGTTTCTTCACTACAGCTTCTAGTTTATAATAGCAAATGGTGGTGCCAGTTTTGTCAATTTTGTTGAGAGCTGCATGGGCCCTACTTGCTCTTCTGCCATCAATCTCAAACCAGTTGTAATAAGAGTGATATGTAGATAGGAAGAAATAGTGAAAGCAGAGAAACCTGTGGGCCTTATGCTGTGTCCGTAGGGACAGCTTGCCATAACTGTCTCTTATAGTAGTAAATTACCAATACGGAGTCAGGTAGAAATATAAGGGTA